ACCGACTCGAAACCAACGAGGTCGGCCGCAGCAGCAGAGGCAACAGAGGGCAAAAGGGGGGAGGGGGAACACCCCTCAAAGACGGGGGTGCGAGGGTCACCACGAGAGGCTCCTACAGCGACTATGCTCTTCTCTGCTGCTAGGAGGGCCTTCTCGAGGAGGTCAACGGTGAGAGTGGTGGGGCAAACTGAGAGGAAGTGGTCTCTGACTACGCGAAGGGAGTCAGGGAGCCGGGTGACAATGTAGTAGAGGGTGATGTACATGGGGGGGGGGTTCTTGGCGCAGAATTCAGCAGGAAGCGCAGCGCGGTAGCGAGTGTCACTAGTGCGGAGGTGCGTAATGAGGTCAGCGACTGTGGGAAAGGCAGCAAGGTCAGGGAAGAGGTACGGTAGCATGAGGCGGCTCAGTGCAGCAGTGGCAGGGGAGGAGTAGCGCGCAACTACAGCGTCGTACAAGGTCTGAGCACTCTTGTACTGGCTAAAGTGCGCACACTCAGAGGTAGGCAGGTGGCGACGCACAGCAAGACGTGCAGCAGCATCGCGTGTGGCCCACTGTGAGCAAACAGTGGCGTCGGCATCAGCAGCAGGGGCAGGAGAGGCACCAGAGGTGAGGTCAAAGAGGGAGAGACCGTCTGCCCTATCGCACTGTAGGAAAAGCTGCAGGTCATCTACCCAGACGTCAAAGTCAATGGCCCGACCCTCAGCGTCAAAAGCGAGGACACTAGGGGTAGCCATGACAGCAGTAGACTAGCAGCGCGAACAGTAGGGTAAGGGCAGTGCAGTGACAGAGGCGCTGCTCGTACCGGACAGGGCGGCTCGGGCGGCTCGGCGGCTCGGCGGCTCGGCAACTCGGCGGCTCGGGCGGCTCGGCGGTACGGCGGCTCGGCAGCAACTGCGGCTCGGTGACTCGGCGGCTCGGGCGGCTCGGCGGTACGGCGGCTCGGCAGCAACTGCAGCTCGGCGACCCGGCGGCTCGGGCGGCTCAGGTGGCGCGGCGGCTCGGGCGGCTCGGGTGGATCGGGCGGCTCGGCAGTAGCTCGGCGGCGCCGGCGGCTCGGTGGTGACGGCGGGGCCGCGTGGGGACGGCGGCGGGGCCGGGTGGAGCGGCGGCGGGGCCAGGTGGAGCGGCGTCGGGGCCGGGTGGAGCGGCGTCGGGGCCAGTAGAGGCGGCGCCGGGGCCGCAAGGGCAGCTCCGGGGCCGCAGGGGTAGGCGACGGGGCCAGCAGAGGCGGCGCCGAGGCAGGGAAGGGCGGCGCCGGGGCCGCAGGGGTAGGCGACGGGGCCGCTAGGGCGGCTAGGAGGGGGGGGGTCGCGAGGGCGGCTTGAAGAGGCCGCGAGGGCGGCTAGAAAGGGCCGCGAGGGCAGCGTGAAAGGGCCGCGAGGGCGGCGCGACGCGAAGGAGCCGCGAGGGCGGCGGATCGGGGCCGCAAGGGCGGCGCGACGTGGCCGCTAGGGCGGCGCGACGTGAAGGGGCCGCGAGGGCGACGCGACGGGGCCGCAAGCGCGACGCGACGGGGCCGCTAAGGCGGCGCGACAGGGTCGAGAGAGGGGAGCGCGACTCGGGCAGTGTAGAGCGCGCTCCGGGCAGGAAAAAAAAAGGTGGTGGGCCCTAGGAACAGTTCCCACAGGGGAACCTGCTCGATACCATGAGAAACTGAACGAGAATGAATTGACTAAGGGAAAGTTGGGTACAAATGCAAACCCTAGAAAAACTGTACCCCATATGTGCTACCCCGCTATAGCCTACAGTAGCTATGTCATTTAAATCTGACAGCTTGTAGTGCACATTTGGCATCGTCGAAGCGCGCTAAACGCCCTTCTCCAACTAAAAAAACCGTGGGTTGGAGCTCATTTCCCTCCACCCACGTTTCTCTATTTCCAACGGCTCACTCAACTTTTCCACCACCCACCCCAGCATTGACGGCCTACTACGGCCGTTTGGACACGATACATCTTAGCTTGTATTCTCTGCATGTACTACCTTGTGTTAGAACTCGATGGATATGTTGTAATATGCCATTTGCAATGAAAACGATGCCTTTGCAATGAGGACGATGCCAAATGATAAAAACAAGAAAGCAAGCTTTCTCAATTGAGTCGTTAATTAACACGAAAACAACGAGGCAACCAATGACTCCAGCATTGAATGAAGATAACTATCCATGTACCGTATATAAAATAGAAATCTGAAACACTACGTGAACCTGATAAAATGTATTGTTCCATTGCCACTCTTTTTGCAGGTTATGTGTATTCCATTCAAACGCATGCTTGCGGTTACCGAGTATATCACATGAAGTGTACCAGTACCCTTTGAGGCGTTATACCAACTATTATAAGATATGCTTCCTAGATCTTCGAAGGATTTGGGACCGAATTTCGGATGAAATACCGCACAAGACAAGGCACGACAGTGCACAATCGCCTTCAACCGTCTACTGGTCCTTCATCGCCGGATTTTGTTAGGGCGTGTCTGAAGTGAATTTCGACGTTTGCCGACGAAACTTTCTTCGACGTTCCTTGACGAAACTCGACATCCGTTTTCAGCTGTGTTCACTTCAGACACCCACACGACAAAATAACCCACACGTGCCATAGGAACACTGTTATAAGTTGCCCATGAAAATTCGACGTGGAATTAACAGAATCATTCATGTAACTCAATTGTTTGCAATCTCGCGAATTTCGCTTAGCATAGATTGTTGCTGGTAACACCGGATATTCTACTGTCACATTGCCAGCGAAATTTCTCTAGCACGTGTCGCTCTCGTCTTAGTTCTTATTCACGTGTGTTTGCCACAGATATGCAGACATGGCGTGTCGAAGAATTGTTTTTGAAACACTCACTGACTACAGTGACTCAAACAGCTGCCCGGTATCACTGTTCGACATCCCTCGACATGTGCACGAACGTCGAGTTTCGTCGAGGGATGTCAGGCTGCACTTCAGACACCAACACGCGTGGGTCCCACGGATGAGTTTCGTCGACGAAATTTGACGAAACTCGACGTTTGCACTTCAGACACGCCCTTAGTGGGGAAAACAAACTCCTAAAAATCACGTGCACAAGCACATGCGTTTGAAACGCCTCACCTACACTTGCCATGATCTAGAATGAGGAGACCCGTTTCGCGAAGGGTCGCCATCCGACTGCAGCACTGTCGCGAGAAACATGCCGCTTCGCCAGCTTTCGTAAACTTTCTGCTCCGTACAGCAGACTAGGAAACTACTGTGAATGAGCGTTTCTTGCAGTTACACTGTACGCGGGTTTGAAGAAAAGTCCGTCAGAACGCGTACAACCTCACCTCGGTATCCCCTGCTGCGCAACTCACAACACCGCGCTTTTATTTACTGTATGCTTAAATTATCGCTGTACACACTCAAAAGGCTCATTCGGACTGGGAGTGTGCGGGGGAGGAAGTGAGCTTCCTTTTTGGTTGTGCTTTGAGTTTCGGAATTTGTGGTGGCGGCGTTCCAGTTTGAATCCAATTGGCCATACCAGTACTTCAAACACATTTTCCTAAAATAGAAGTATGCAAAGGAATTTACAAACGTAGGGAGCTCTGGCATTACAGCCAAGAAGGTGTGGTTGGGAAAGAATTGTACTATGCATACTTGTGACTGAGGGACCACTTGTTTCTAAGAATTGATGACCACCAGATCTCCAAATCCCCTCTTCGAACAAACCCTAGAAAGCCTCGATGCCCTAGAACCATATCCCAAACTTCCGGGCATTTGAAATGGATCGCTGGAATTAGTAACTGGGTGTGGTACTGTACATGTATCTTCTTCTTGGGACCCACTCCAGCACCTTGAGCCTGGGCTCTCTCAACTCAACTCATCACAGACTTCGCGCTCATGGTTTCCAGCTCACTGCTTGGCCTACAAGCTTTCCAGCTCAATCATCCAGCTCGATCCAGCTCGCTGCATCATAACTCGCATGGGGTGAGCCGTTGACCGCTGCCAGCGCACGTAGAAACTAGATCCGAATCTCATTATTCGGTGCAGCATACAGCTATCCGCATCGTCTGGATGTCAGACTGTTTAGTACAGTGTACTTACCTGTAATGCGATTTGCGTTGCGAGGTACAGAACGGACTGGATGCGACGAGATAGTGGGGGCCACGACATCATATGATCATACGCCTTGTGTGGTTCCCACGCGATGGCGGTTAACTGCCGTCAAAAACTGGAACTGTACGCGAGGGAGACTGTCACAGCTCGATGGCGCTTGCCTTGTGAGCCGCCAGACGCATTACACGATGGCCGGATGGCGCCGCGATGGCAGCAACGCGGTGGATTACGACGCAGTCGTGCTGTCCGCTGCTTGTTACGATTTGATTCGGCCCAGATTCTCACTGCTCGTTCCATGCAAACGCCTTTCCCGCGCTCCTCCTCACTCTCAGAGGCTCCCTCTCACTCGCCTCTCTCTCTCTAACTCTCCACGCGCTCATGTCGGCGCCGCGAGTGGGTGGGTGTTTCGTGCGATCCTTCCGATCAGATCGGTCGAGTTCTGATTACGCTAGTAGTAACGTTCCTCTGATGACCATTTCTCAAGAGACGTTTCTTTCTTCACCAGATCCTCATTTCCCGGCCTCCATCGTCAACGGATCCTCCTCCATTGTTAACGAATCCCCAGCTAGTATCTTCCTCATCAAGAAGCTACTTGTTCCAATCAATACTTAGCAATCACATCTGCGGCTGACTTTTGGAGTGTAAACTTTTACGTGCCGCCTTACATCGCCGCCCGCCCGCGGCCCTGCCATTCAACGCCATCCAAGACTCGTTCACAACCCATCATCCGCGGCCCGCCAGACACAGTCGACTTTAAAGACGTCTCTAAACGCCATTCAACGCCATCCAAGACTCCGAGCCTTAAAAAAACCCCGTCTGCGGACCATTGAGACATTAAACGCCAACTCGCAGCCATCGTTCAACGTCCTCAGCCTGAGGGTAAACCTTATGCCTACAAAGGCCCCTCTCACAAATCTCTTACCAATCATGGCTCACAGCACGACGACAAGTACCCTGCCTAACAGCAGCGCCAGCATCACCGCGGCCGACGGAGCGACGTCTGAGTCTCTCGCCGCTGCTCTCTTTGCATTGGACGACCTCCCTTCGCCGCTCGCTTCGCTCCACACCACGCTCCCGCCGCCGCCGGCTGCGCCGGGTTCTCAGCGTTCTCTCCCCGAGGAGCACAGAGGCCGCTTCGGCTGGTCCCCAGTCGGCCCTCGCGGGTTTCCCGAGGAGGGGTTCGTCCTGCACGCCGAACCTCGCGCCGAGCCGTTGAACGAGCCTCTTGCCGAGCCTCAGATGACCGTTGTGGGCGGAACGGAGCCGGCTGGTGAAGCGGCCGCGCCTGCGGGGCTGGGATTGCTGACAGGGCTGACAGGGCCTGCTGAAGCTGCCGCAGCTGTGATGCAAGGAGCGGGCGGTGAGGTGCAGATACAGCGCATGTTGGTTGGCCTTTCGAAGCTCGCATGCTCGCTGCGACAGCAGGAAGCAAAGCAGCAGCAGGCGGCGTGGCAGCAGCAAGCAGAGGAGCAAGCAGAGGAGCAGCAAGGAGCGCTGCAGCACTGGAACGGTGGGAACGCGGTGGGCAGCAGCAGCAGCAGCAGCGACCTGCCTGAGGAGGATGGAAGCTATGAGAACCAGAACCAGAACCAGAACCAGAACCAGAACCAGAACCAGAACCAGAACCAGAACCAGAACCAGAACCCTACTAACCATGAGCATGAGCGCTTCACACTGATGAACACCGCGGCCGTTATTCCCGTCCCCAACGAGCGAGTCTCGGCGCCTGCAGCACCCTCTCCGTCGCTGCAAGTGGCTGCAGCAGCAGCAGCAGCCAAGGCAAGGAGAGAGGAGGTGGCTTTTGAGGCGACGCAAAAGTCAGTAGCAGTAGCAGCTGCAGTCGCAGCAGCGGCAGCAGCAGAGGCAAGGAGGGAGGAGGCGAGGAGGGCGCAGGCTGTTCTATCAAGCCGTGTGATGGCGACTCTGCAGATGGGAGCAGGCAGCGAGGACGAGAGGCGGCAGCTGTTGGCCTTACTGCTAGCGCTGAAGCAAGTGGAGGAGCAGCAGGAGCAGCAGGCGCAGCAGCAGACGCAGCAGAAGGCGAGGCAGAACGCACGGAAGCGACAGAGGCGGCAGAGGGTGATGGGAGGTCAAGGGGTGTCGGGAAACCCTCAGTCGCCGCAAGTGCAGCAGCAGGAGCAGCAGCAGCCTGAGCAGCCGGAGCAGGAAGGAAGGAATGAGGAGCACCGGTTCTCGGCTGGCTCGCCTTTTCTCGCGGGAGCAAGTCCTGAGCTCCACGGTATAGGTGTAATGGGACGCATGGACGGGCGGGGAGGGGAGAGGAGCGGCAGTGGTGGCAGCAGTGGTGGTGGCAGCGGTATCGCCAGTGGTATTGGCAACGGTGTTCGGAACGACCCAGATTTTTCACTGCGTGGTGTTGGGAACGACGTCGATTTTTCACTGCGTGGTGTTGACAAGAACCTCACCAGTGCTCTGAGTAATGAGATTCGTTTTAACGCAATGCGTGCGCATGGCATCAACAGTGGCGTTTTCAGCGGCGCTGCTGCGAACGTTGCGGGAGCGAACGTTGGCGACGGTGGGAGGAAGAGGAGAAGCCCCGAGGCCCTGGATGACGGCGCTACAGCTGCTCTCCAGTGGCAGCATGGCATGCAGACCCCCGCCGCCTGCTACAGCCGCAGTGTGCTCGGGCATATGAACCAGAGCGGTGTGCTGGATGGCATGCTCTTAAAGGATGCAGACGCAGCGGCAGTGGGGGCAGCGGCAGTGGGGGCAGCACCGGCACACCCCACTTTGTCTCCTCTTCACAGCAGCATGGCGGAGGCAGCAGGGCAGCACATGCACCTCCTGTTCCAGCAGCAGCGTCTGCAGCAGCAACAGCAGCAGCAGCAGCAGCAGAGGTGTGAGCAAGCGTCACAGCCCCTGTCACCGGAGGCCAGAAATCAGCGCTCTCGAGGAAGCACAGGCTCGGTGGGCACAGGTACGGGCGGTGAAGGCTCGGCGCGCTCAGGCTCGGCAGGCACAGGCATGGGTGGTGCAGGCTCGGCAGGCGGTCCAGCAACTAGCAGCAGTGGGCAAGTGGGTGGGGAAGATGGCACCGAAGGCATGCGAGGCATGCAAGGCATGGAAGAAATGGAGGGCACGGGTCAGTGGCAGTCTGATGAAGACCTTGGGGAAGCGGCGCCTGCACAACAGCCAGAGTGGGGTTCAGATGCCCTGGATAATCCCAAGGGTCGAGAGCGCGGTACTATGCAAGACGAATGTGGCACGGACGACGAGTGGTTGCCTCGGTGCCAAGGCGTGAGGACAGGTTCGGTGCCGAACAAGAGGATCAAGAGCCGGAGCATGGCGGAGCGGCGCAGGAGGGAGAGGATCAGTGAGGGGCTGCAGAGGCTGAGGGCGAAGGTGAGGGGGCGAGGCGACACGTGTGCGATGCTGGATAGAGCAGTGGGGTATGTAGATGCATTGGAGCGACGGGTGGTGGAGTTAGAGAGGGTTGTTATGGCAGCTGCTGGGTCTGGGAGAAACGTTTTCCCCGGTAATGCATTTGCCGGTGGTTTTGCTGGTCGTGGTTTTGCCGGTAACGTTTTTGCTAATAATGCCGCGGTGCTGACGACGATACCGGCTGCGATGACATCCGTCCCGACTGGCCTTGGGGGTGACGCTGTTGCTGGCTGGCCTTGGGAGTGAAGCATGGCTGGTCAGAGCTTTAGCCTACATGTGTGGACCTTACTTACTAATCATATGGATATGTTGGAGCCCAGGGATTTTTATTTTTTATTTGTCAGATTCTTCCCTCGTGCAGTCAATCCATCTTTGTCAATCGCGCGCAATAAATTACCGAAATATTTTCCAAAGCTCCAACGTTGGCTTTGCCGAGTGAAGCATATTTTAAGGGTGTGTTTTTTGATTCTCATGGAAAAACTTGCTAGTAGCATACTGGAACCTGTAGTTAAAGCCGTTGGCCCAAATTGCACAAGTTTTAAAAGGTTGACGGGGGTGACAGGGCCTCAGATTGGTTTTTGGGTACCCTGAGCACTCAGTGTCCCTAGCCTAGCAACACTGATTTTCAGTTTCATCCCAAGGAAAAACACTGATTTTTCAGGGTATTAAAAAAAAAAAAAAAAAAAAAAAAAAAACGTTGAGCACTCAGAGTGAAAAAAATGTAAACACTGATCAGCTATATCAATAATGAGAACCCCTGCTGCATGGGTTCCCTTAGCACACTGCAACCAGCACGACGTTGCCACACATTGGACAGCCAATCAAATTGCGCCTTTGACAATAACACTCAAATTTGGCCAGAGGTGAGTACCTTGTCGGTGAATAGAACTAGGAATGAATGATTGAACTAGGCAAGAGGTGAGTACAAGTAGGGGAAACCTAACCCTAAAGTGTTGTACTCACTAAGGAGTGACCCTACTGTAGCCTAGAGATACAATTGTAATTTGACATACCTGAATGCAGACGACGCACCAAACTTGGCGAAATGCAGTTTCCAGTTTCAGGGTCGAACGCGATACAACACTGACCAGGGCCTGTGCTAGGATTTAAGACACCCTGAGCCCTCAGGGCAACTTTTGAAAACTTTCCAAAATGCCCTGATTTTTCAGGGCAAAATTCCCTGGCCATCCTGAAATTTCAGGGCACCAGCAGATGTTTGTGTTCTTCCTAGGCTATAGTGGGTTAGCCTACAAGGGGTACAACACTTTAGAGTTAGTACTTGTACCCAACTCATTCATAGTTCATTCATTCCTGCCTGCTTATTTTAACATGGTATTAGAGCAGAATCGTTCCTAGGGCCCACCGAACGTTCCGCCCTGCCCTACCCGTAAAACTTTTCTTCCTACGCTGCCCCTGCAGCCGCGCTGCCCTTGCAGCCCGCGCGCTGCCCCTGCGACCGCGCTGCCCCTGCAGGCGTGCTCGCCCCTGCGACCGCGCTGCTTCTGCAGCCGTGCTCGCCCCTGCGACTGCGCTGCCCCTGCAGCCGTACTCGCCCCTGCGACCGTGCTGCCCCTGCAGCCGTGCCTGCCCCTGTGGCTCGCGTGCTGCCCCTGCAGCCCGCGCGTTCGCCCCTGCAGCCCGTGGGCGCTGCCCCTACAGCCCGCGCGCCGCCCTGCCGAGCCGCGCGTCGCCCCTGCAGCCCGTGGGCGCTGCCCCTGCAGCCCGCGCGCCGCCCAGCCGAGCCGCGCGTTGCCCCTGCAGCCCGTGGGCGCTGCCCCTGCAGCCCGCGCGCCGCCCTGCCAAGCCGCGCATCGCCCCTGCAGCCTGGGCGCCGCCCTGCCGAGCCGCGCGTCGCCCCTGCAGCCCGTGGGCGCTGCCCCTGCTGCCCGCGCGCCGCCCTGCTGAGCCCCGCGTCGCCCCTGCAGCCCGTGGGCGCTGTCCCTGCAGCCCGCGCGCCGCCCTGCCGAGCCGCGCGTCGCCCTTGCAGCCTGGGCGCCGCCCTGCCGAGCCGAGCGCCGCCACTACAGCCCGCGCGCCGCCTTGCCGAGCCGCGCGTCGCCCCTGCAGCTCGTGGGCGCTGCCCCTGCAGCCCGCGCGCCGCCCTGCCGAGCCGCGCGTTGCCCCTGCAGCCCGTGGGCGCTGCCCCTGCAGCCCGCGCGCCGCCCTGCCTGAAAAAAAAAAAAAAAAAAAAAAAAAAAAAAAAAAAAAAAAAACTAATGCTGCTGCTTCTACTCGTGCTACTGCTGCTGCTGGTGGAGGTGGTGCTGGGAGTGCTGGAGGTGCGGCCGCCCAGCCCCACTGAGCCGCCCTGCTGCTGCTACTACTGCTGCTGCTGCTACTCGTGCTACTGCTGCTGCTGGTGGAGGTGCTGCTGGGAGAGTTGGAGGTGCTGCTGGTGCTGGAGGAGCTGGAGGTGCTGGACTTACTCCTGACCGTCACTGTCATTCATGGCCACCATCGCGGCAGCTGCTGCGACCAGGGGTGGACGGCAGCGGGCACTGCCTCTCTCGGACGACCCCACCCCTCAGCAGCTTCGTGAGTGGGTGTTTCAGCGAGGCAGTCCTAGTGGTGGAGGTTTTGGTTTTATGTGGCCTAAGCGACCTCGCGACTGTGCTTCTCAGCGGTGCGTCCCTGGCTGTGTCGAGGTTACTGCTCTCGGTTCTAGTAAGTCTGCTGCCGCTCCAGGTGCTAGTGAGTCTGCTGCCGCTCCAGGTGCCTGTGAGTCTGCTGCCGCTCCAGGTGCTGGTGAGTCTGCTGCAGCTCTAGGTGCCCGTGAGTCTGCCGACGCTCTAGGTGCTAGTGCGTCTACTGCCACAGGTCCTGCCTCAGCTGAGGTCTTGCACACTTTCACGCTTGACTCAGGCGCGTCACGTTGCTTCTTTCGTGATTGCACCACAGTCACACCACTCGTAGCACTTGTCCCAGTCTCACTGGCTGACCCCTCTGGGGGCCTAGTAGTTGCGCGAGCCTCCACTGGTCTCCCTTGTCCAGCAGTCCCCTCCGGTTCTCTGTCAGGTCTCCACCTCCCCACGTTCTCGACGAACTTGGTGAGCAACGCTGCCATTCAGGATGTCTGGGTTGATACCTTTATTTCTGGAGGGCAGCGTGTGGCGATCTGTACGTGCTCCCGGACTGGCCGTCACCTGGCTACGTTCACTCGACAGCCTGGGTCTAGTCTGTACACACTGACCACTGCGTCTGCACAGGTGGCTGAGTCAGGTCAGGTGGCTGTGTCGAGTCGGGCGTCTGCGTCGAGGCAGTTAGCTGCGTCTTGCTCGTGCAGAGTACTCACGCACGAGACTCAGCGCTGGCACCAACGTCTTGGTCACCCCTCCCTGCAGCGTCTACGCAGTATGCACTCCCGTCTCCTTATCTCTGGCCTCCCCAGGACCCTGCCCCCCCTCCCGCGCTCACTTGCGCCGCCGTGCCTTCCTTGCGTCGAGGGGCGGTAGCGCGCCACTCCTCACTCCTCCGAGTTTCCTCCGACCACTGCTCCTCTGCAGACTCTCCACATGGATGTGTGGGGCCCGGCCCCCATCGGTGGAACGGACCGCGAGCACTACTTCCTGCTGGTTGTTGACGACCACACACACTACACCACTGTCTTCCCCTTGCGGCGCAAGGCGGACGTCAGCGGTGTCCTGATCCCCTGGATCCGTGCTACTCGTCTCCAGCTGCACGAGCGGTTTCAGCAGGACTTCCGAGTCCTGCGTCTGCATCCGCTAGACGTTCACGCTTCCGGCCTCTCCTCAGCAGAATGGGATTGCTGAGCGTCGCATTGGCTTGATCATGGAGGTTGCTCGCACCTCCATGATCCATGCGGCCGCTCCCCATTTTCTGTGGCCGTTTGCGGTCCGATACGCTGCGCATCAGCTCAACCTCTGGCCCCGTGTCTCTGTGCCAGAGACCTTGCCCACCCTCCGGTGGACGGGGAAGGCTGGTGATGCGCCAGTGTTTCGGGTCTGGGGCGCGCTCTCCCTTGTTCGCGATGCCAAAGTGAGCAAGCTCTCCTCTCGCACTCTCCGCTGCGTCTTCATTGGCTTTCCCACTGACGCCCCGCCGTGACAGTTCTACCATCCGCGCTCCCGTCGAGTCTTCTCCTCCCAGGACGTCACCTTGACGAGTCTGTCTGTTACTACCAGTTACACCCGCACGCATCCTTTTCGGTTCCCCTATCACCCCTCTTCCTGGTACCAGCCCCCCCCAAGGTAGACCCCTTCCCCCCACAGGGTCCTGCTCCCTCAGGTGTGTCTCACGTCGACCCACCCCCTTTGGATGAGCCAGTGGAGATCTCTTCTGACTCCTCTGGCCCAGCTGAGGGGGGTGACCCAGTTGCGGACGACACGGCGGCCACTCGCCGCTCTCCACGCTTGGAGACCCCCCCGGGTTTTCCGCCTCGACCGTCTTCGCCGCCTCCGCAGCCTGCTGCTGTGGACTCTGGAGCTGAGACTACAGGTGCTGAGACTGGGGGTGCTGAGACAGAGGGTGAGGGTTCTGGGGGTGCTGTGCCTGGGGGTGCTGCGACTGGGGGTGCTGACTCTGGGGGTGCTGCGAGTCCTAGTGGCGGTGGAGTTGTGGGTGACACTGTTGGAGGTCCTGGAGCTGGAGGTACTCGAGGTGCTGCTGGTGCTGGAGGTGCTAGAGCTACCACTACTGGAGGTGCAGGAGCTGGACAGCCACCGCAGCCTGATCTACTTGAGACGCTCTCGCCGCAGGCGATTCGTGCGTGGATCGTTCGGCGAGGCAGTCCTGGTGGTGGAGGGTACAGTCCTGCTGGTGCTGGAGCTACTAGTCCTGGAGGTGCTGGAGGTGCTGGAGGTACTGCTGGAGGTACTAGAGGTGCTGCTGGTGCTGGAGGTGCTGGAGGTACTGATGGAGGTACTAGAGGTGCTGGTGGTGCTGGAGGTACTGGAGCTGCTAGGCCTGGAGGTACTGCTGGAGGTACTAGAGGTGCTACTGGTGCTGGAGGTACTGGAGCTGCTAGGCCTGGAGGTACTGGAGGTGCTCCTGGTGCTGGAGGTGCTGGAGGTGCTGCTGGTGCTGGAGGTACTGGAGCTGCTGGTACTGGAGGTACTGGAGTTGGAGGTACTGGAGCTGCTGGTGCTGGAGGTACTGCTGGTACTGGAGGTGCTGGGGGTACTGGAGCTGCTGGCACTGGAGGTGCTGGTGCTACTGGTGCTGGAGCTGCGGGAGCTGCTGGTCCTGGAGGTGCTCGTAGTAGAGGCACTGGAGCTGCCGGAGCTGGT